TATTGTTTACTTTATTTATTTATTCGGAGTGATTATTTTTACTTGTATTTTATGTATTTATTTTATTTGTTCTATTTCGTCTATTCTAACGAAGGTGATTTGTTTATTTATTATTTAACTTGTTTTTTATATTATTTTCTTTAATTTTGTGTCGATCTTTAAGTAACGTTGTAAATTTTTTTGTGTTTGCATTTTGAGATGAGCTCAGATCGTTTATTTAGTAATTTATTTTGGCTTGGGAAGTTAATAATAGGTATTTTTTCTCCAAGCAAAGTTTGCAGGCTTTCGATTGATTGTTGTAGTGATCTTTTCCTTATCTTCCATGATATTTTTGGTGTGATTTGCGTTTGTTTTTAATTTCCCAGATATACATAAAAAGCATTGTGCTGTTCGCGTATTTACTATTTGTGAAAGATGTTTTGTGTGCATAATTTCTTTGTTTCCAGGGTCCTTCAGTTACTCCTATGTATACTTTTTCTTCATTATCTGCTGATTTTACCTTGGGTTTTACCGTTGCTTACAAAAAAACGTAATATACCAAGCCACGTAATAACGTATTATACCACGATTTATATATATATATATATATATATATATATATATATATATATATATATATATATCAATGTGTATGTGTATAGTCAGACATTTTTATTAATTTTTTTCTCGTATTCTTAAATTTTCCAGTTTGCTGGTTGTGAGAATGTGTAAAAATTTCCCGTAGATTCTACTATCCCAAGTGTTTTCAGCCATTTCTTTAGTTATTTGTAAGCAGTTTGTCGTCAGTTGTTGCTAATTTCTTTTCACGGTTGACGTTTAAGATGTCTGATGCATAATATATATATATATATATATATATATATGAACGTGATAAGAATTTACGAACGATTAACAACAAACACTTTAATAATATAAGCGATAAAAAAACAAAACAAAAGTATAAAAAAGTGAATTCAATTGACGAGACTATATAGCCAGTTACATATATAAAATAAAAAATTGAAATTAAATTCCTGAGGTCTCAAAATTTTCATCGTTTTCTTTCTATGCAAAATTTTCACTTCCGTTTGCGGTTTTATATTCCCTCTTCTTCATACGCTTATATAACTACATATAATAATGACAAAAATATTACATCCTTAAGGAGAAAACGCCTCACCGAAAATTCTTTTTTTATAACTTTGACATTCATTTTGCTAATATATATATATATAAATATATATATATATATACAGTGGGTACCAAAAGTATTTAACACATTGGTTTTTCTTACATATCTCAAAAAATAACAGATCAATTTCAACGAAACTTATAGGAAATATTTAAACGAACATTGTCGATCAAAACATAGAAGGAAAATTTAAAACCACTGTTTTGAGAAACATTTATTAACAATAAATAAAATAACCCATATGCAAAAGTATTTAACACACTTTACTAATATTTAGTACAGTAGCCTCTGTTCTGCTTCACAGCCTCCAATCGTTTCCCGTAGTCTTCAACTAGTTTTTTGCAGGTACTTGTTGGTATTTTGACCCATTCTTCTTCACAAATTTTCTTCAATTTGTTTAAATTCAATGGATTTGTTTTATGAACTCCTAACTTCAATAGTTTCCACAAATTTTCGATTGGATTTAAATCCGGTGACTGGCTTGGCCATTCCAGGACATTAATGTCATTATTATTAAACCAATTCTTAGTTGTTTTAGCAGTATGCTTCGGGTCATTGTCTTGCTGAAATACAAAATACATGTTCCAAAGATGTGGCACTGTTCAAAAGTTGAGTTGACAAAATTTGAGTGTATTTTGCAGCATTCATTGTTCCTTCGATGATTTTCATTTTTCCTACTCTATTTGAGGAAAAACAACCCCACATCATAATATTTCCACCCCCCCATGTTTGACTGTAGGGATAGTATTTGCTGGTTCGTATTCCGCTCCTTTTTTCCTTTATACATGAGTGCGCATGTTTCGTCCGTAAAGCTCAATTTTCGTTTCGTCTGACCAAATTACTTTCTCCAAGAAATCATTAGATTCAATTTCATATTTCTTTACAAAATTCAAACGGGCTTGTACATGTCGGCGTTTCAGTAATGGAGTCTTTCTCGGTGATCTTGAAGTGAGACCTGCACGATTCAGTGATCTTTTAATTGTATCTTTACTAAATTCAATTCCGGCATTTTTCAAATCATTCTGAATTTCTCGACGAGTTGAAAATGGATTTTTCTTCACAGTACGGGAAATGTATCGCTCATTAGCCTCATTTAAGATACAGGGACGACCACTCCTTTGAATGTTTTCAATAGTATCGAATTTTTTCCATTTTCAAACAACAGCACCAACTGTACTCACAAGCAAATTCAGATCTTGAGCGATTTTTCTATATCCCTTACCATCTTTGTGATTCTTTATGATCTTCTTGCGCATGTCGTTCGACAATTCTTTTGTTTTCACCATTTTCTTGCAATAGTGGCAACAGAATAGCTGCAGTGTCTCAGAGCTGTTATCTAATAGCCAGTTGAGTGTCGTGCAGTGCTGTATATATATATATATATATATATATATATATATATATATATATATATATATATATATGATGAGATCGAGAATAATGTAAATTCTAAAGTTCACAGCATTATTTCAAAAGCGGGCTCAATACCAAGAGTAGAACAATAATAATTTATTACTGATTTTTATATGTGGACAAAAACAATTCCCTACCACAAAGATGCCTTCTTGTTTCGATACCTTATGTGCATCTCGACTGGCAGGAACTAAAATGGTTATCTTTTGGGTAACTATTTTGTTTTTGTCCATGTAAAACTCTATAATATATATATATATATATATATATATATATATATATATATATATATATAATTCAATGAAAACAGATAACTTCAAGGGTCCATTGGTTATAATTTATTTCACCAGGGAATGTCTTTTTCCCTGGATCATCAGACCACACTTCCAAGGGTGAAAAAATGAATTTAAATTGACATATATTTTTTATACACTTTTGAGGGGTAGTATTAAGTTGATGTAAGGTGATAGAGAGAATGGGGAGAGAGATGGTGACAGACATGGTCGAAATTAGAGAGGGAAGCGAGAGATAGAAACGATTTTAAATTTATTTTTATTACAATAATTAATAGTAAGGAACAGGGGTAAGGACCAGACAGTGACCTATTTAATAGGTCAACTGACAGGAAACGATATAGAGGGAAAAAAGAGAAGTAAAGATGTAAGAAATAAAAGGTGGAATTAGGGGTTTAAGGAAAGAAAGGGGAGTTTATAGTTATTCCAACGAGAGAAAAGTGTATATATTTAAGAGAAGAGAGAAGCCGCAAACGTTTTTTGTTTTTAATGTAGATTTCTTAAATATGTATTATACTTTATTTGCTATATTTTTGCCGCACGAGTTCGGATTTTGTCAACTTCATCAAGCAAAGAGTCGTTATTTCCACATATTATTTAAATGAATTCTTTAAATGATATAACCACTCTTCCCCTGATGATGGTCGAGAGACCCGAAACACCTTTAACAAAAATATGGAAATAAAACATAATACATATTAAAAAAAGACACATTAAAACCAAACACGCACACACAATCAACCAAACACACACACACACATATATATATATATATATATATATATCCTTTGGTGTAAATAAAACAGTGCTCAATGCAAAATAATCGAAATATTAAGTATATATTAATAAATATACCTAATACCCCATGTACGACTCGGAGTTTCATGCGCTATGCAATCAGCAGACACCTGCTGATTTCAAAGTGAATTAAACTCCGTATCGTACTGTCGGTGTGGGATATATATATATATATATATATATATATATATATATATATATATAATTTTATCATATATACAAAACAGTTTACTCACTACAAAGATGCAACTTCGTTTCGGTACATTTCAATTGCACCTCGACTGGTGAGAACCAAAAATTGTTATGAACAATTCGTTTTTGTCTATATGATAAAATTATAATAAATAATTATTGTTCTACTATCGGTATCAAGCCCTCATTTGAATTAATGTTGTGAACGTTAGAATTTATAACTTACTTTTGTTCTCATTGCATCGGATATATATATATATATATATATATATATATATATATATATATATATATATATATGTGTGTGTGTGTGTGTAGGATTAAGAAAAAATACAATTTTTCACTTAGCTGATTGATGTAATATTCAGCACCTTAACTCTAGCGTTTAAAGTGTAGAGAGAAGCCGCAAACGTTTTTTCTAGAATTTCGTAGATTAACATTTAGCAATTGTTCAGTCAACTCTTCCGGAGGTGTCAGCAATTGATTGCCGTTTTTTTTTTCTTTATATAATAAAATTTTAAGTAAAATAATAATAATAATAATAATAATAATAATAATAATAATAATGTTATCAATCTTCCGTCAGTTTTGTTCATTCTTTTTATTCTCGTGTTTTTCTCATTTTCCTTTTATTTTTATTGTTTCTTCTTTCTTTACAAGTTTCCGTTTCTCTTTTTTGTTATTTTCAAAATGTTTTTTCTTTCCTTTTTTCTTTCTTTACATGTTTCTGATTCTCTTTTTTTTGTTATTCTCAAAATGTTTCTTTCTTACACAAGAGTTTATCTATCATATTTTTCGATTATTCTTTCTTTCCTTTCTCTCTGTCTTTCTTCATTTCTTTTTTGTTTGTTTGTTTGTTTCTTTTTTCTTTACAAGTTTCCGTTTCACTTTTTGCTATTTTCAAAATGTGTTTCCATTCTTTCTTTCTTTATTACACACGAGCTTATCTGATGTCTCCATCAGATTTTTCGATCTTTTTCTCTTTCATTTTTCTTTCGTTCTCTCTATTTATTTATTTTTTTTTTTCTTACTTTCTTTAAAATTTTCCGTATCTCTTTTTTGTTATTTTTAAAATGATTCCTTGGTTACTTTCTTTTTATTCTTTTTTCCTTTCTTACACATGATCTCATCTGATGTTTCAATCATATTTTCTGAACTTTCTTTCCTTCTTTCTTTTTTCTTTCTTTTTACCCTTACAAGTTTCCGTTTCTCTTTTTTGTTATTCTCAAAATATCTTTTCTTTTTTTCATTCTTTCTTTTTTCTCTCTATTTTATCTTTCTTTCTTTCATTCTTTTTTCGTTCTTTCTCTCTTTTTTCTTTCTTTACATGTTTTTGTTTCTCTTTTTGTTATTTTGAAAATGTTTTCTTCCTTTTCGCTTTTGCGTTTTTCTTTTTGATTATTCAGAAAATTTGTTCTTTCTTTTTTTTTTTTATTTCTCATTTACTTGAGCTCATCTTTTCTTTCTTTGCCATCTTCATTTTCTCCCCTTTCCTTTCTTTCCATAGCTTTTCTTCAGTCCCGTCTATTTATTTCTTTTAATTTTTTTTTATTTGTTTTTCTTTCTATTTTTTCTGAAGCAGTAGAATTTTTCGCTTTTTACTGCTTCATTTTTTTTTTTTACTCCATCTTATCTTTCTTTGTTCATTTTCTCTTCGCTGGATTCTTTTCATTCTGACACACTTTCTTTTAACATATCAGTGTCTGTTTCTTTTTTTTTTCTCCTTTTTTTTCTATTCTAAATTCTTATACATTATTTTTATTTCCTTACGACAATTTCTTTCTTTCTTTTTTGTGGTGTTTTCTTTCTTTTTTACACTTTCATTTCTTTGTCTCTTTTACTATTTTGTCTTTATTTTTACAGTTCTATCCTTCTTTCCTTCTTTTTTTATTTCTCCTCCCTTTTTTTCTTTAATTCTTTTTGTGCATTTTTCTTTCTTTCTTTCGCATGTTCTCTCTATTCATTTTGCTTAATTCTTTTTTCTTTACTTTGTTCAAACCTTCTTTATTCTTAAAATGTGTTTTTTAGTTTTTCCTAATTCTTTTCTCATTCGTCTCTTTTATCATTCCTTTTTCTTTACAAGTTTCCGTTTCTCTTTTTTGTTATATTCAAAATGTTTCCTTGCTTACTTTCTTTCTCTTTTTCATTCTTTCTTCCTTTCTTACACATGATCTTATCTGATGACTCCATCATATGTTTCGATGTTTTTCTCTTTCATTCTCTTTCTTTCTTTCTTTCTTTCTTTCTTTCTTTCTTTCTTTCTTTCTTTTTCTATTTTCCGTGATTTTGAAAATGTGTTTTCTTTTTTTTTTCTTTTTTTCTTTCGTTCTCTCACATGATCTTATCTAATGGCTCAATCATATTTTTCGATGTTTTTCTCTTTCTTTCTTTCTTTCTTTCTTTCTTTCTTTCTTTCTTTCTTATACATGGTCTTATCTGATGCCTACATCACATTTTCCAATCTTTTTCTCTTTCTTTCTTTCTTTCTTTCTTTCTTTCTTATACATTTTCTTATCTGATGCCTACATCACATTTTCCAATCTTTTTCTCTTTCTATTTTCCTTCGTTCTCTCTTCTTTCTTTCTTTCTTTCCAAGTTTCCTTTTCTATTTTTCATGATTTTCAAAATGTGTTTTCTTTCTTTCTTTCATTCTTTCTTTCTTTCTTTCCTTCTTTCTTTCTTACACATGATCTTATCTGATGACGCCATCACATTTTCCAATCTTTTTCTCTTTTTTTCTTCGCTCTCCCTTTTTCCTTTCTTTCATTCTTTCTTTCTTTACAAGCTTCCCTTTCTCTTTTTTCTTATTTTCAAAATGTGTTTTCTTTCTTTCTTTCTTTCTTTCTTTCTTTCTTTCTTTCTTTCTTTTCTTTCTTACACATGATCTTATCTAATGACGCCATCACATTTTCCTATCTTTTTTTCTTCGCTCTCCCTTTTTCCTTTCTTTCTTTCTTTCTTTCTTTCTTTCTTTACAAGCTTCCCTTTCTCTTTTTTCTTATTTTCAAAATGTGTTTTCTTTCTTTCTTTCTTTCTTTCTTTCTTACACATGAGCATATCTGATGTCTCTATCATATTTTTCGGTCTTTTTCTCTTTCTTCTTTTTTCGTTCTCTCTTTCTTCTTTTCTTTCTTTAATTCTTTTTGTGGCCCTTTTCTTTTTTTTTCCTTCGCATCTCCTCTCTATTCATTTTTGCTTATTTCTTAATTTTCTTTAATGTGTTCATACTTTCTTTCTTCATAAAATGTGTTCTTAATTATTACTATTTCTTTTCTCATTCATCACTTTTATCTTTCCTTTTTCCTTTCTATCCTATACATTTTCTGTATCATTTTTCATCTTTACGCCAGTCTCTGTTTAACCACATTTGCCTGTCTATTTCTGTCTAGCCTTTATTATTATTATTATTATTATTATTATTATTATTATTATTATTATTATTATTCCATCTCTCTAATACATTCTATCCTTCAACCAAATGCCAGGACATCTGTCCGTGCTGATTGTCCCTTCAGTCCAGCCTCCTTTGGACCAAGATATTTAGCAATGATAACGAAATAAACGATATAGGCGAGATTGGGAAGGCAACCAATCATCCGAAACTCGCAGATAAAAATCAAAATATAATGGCGGCGCGACAGAAAATAGTGGGGGAGAAGGTGAAAATGAAATGAAGGAATGAAGAGAGAGAGAGAGAGAGAGAGAGAGAGAGAGAGAGAGAGAGACTATAAATCGGTCTAATCATCTTCTCTCATTCAAGCAACTATTGATACGTCATCTATTTTGAAGAAGATGGATTTCAAATGAAAGTCTGTCAAAAACTGAAAAGTCCGAACCTGGTTTGCTTAAATGATAAAGAGAGAAGTAGAAGAGGGGTCGGCTTCAAGCCAACGGGACCTTTTGCTCCCAATTTGGGTCGTCACCTTCTAGTCAAGCCAAATACACACAACATCTAACACCCCATTGCATTTTTTACAAAGAACAGTAAAGATTTTAATTTACTTCTGAATTCTTAAATAGAATCAGTTGTGTCTGTTTAATGCTAATAATAAAAGTATTAATAGCTGTTTCCTTATAAGGAAACAGTCGATATTCATTAACCGAGCAGCCAGTGGTACTGTCGATAGAAGTTTATAAAATCTTCCGGTTTTTCAGGAAAATATGTTTCGAAAGGTCATTGTTATCGCTCTTTCTATTATTGGTTGGAATTTCCTTCCAACCCTTTTATTCGAAGGAAAAACATGACGGAGACGGGGTGCCAAAGTGTAATAGCTCCGTAACTTTTGTTAATCTTGAATTTTGACCTAATACCTTTCCACGACCTCTTCTGGGTGAGCTTCATGCAGCATTTTATTAATTAAGTTTTTCTCGTGGTAATAATAATAATAAGAAGAATAAGAATTGTAATAAATGATCAAGAGCGGTCTTCCTTTGTTTTGTTACTCTCTTCATTGAGAGAGTTATTTCTATTTACTGGGACTATAAAAGGACACTATGCGCGAACCTTGAATTTTCATTCGAATAAAGCTTTCTTAAAGCCTACACCCGCGTACTTTTGTCATTCCAACAACAACAACTACAACGGCAATAATAATAATAATAATGATAATAATAATAATTATTATTATTTCATTTGATTTGTGGTGTATACTCATTTCTTTCCGGGTCCCAACTACAGACATAACCCTTCTGGATAAGACGATAAACTTCATCCAATAGCAAGCCCTCTGGTCAGGAGGTTTTGAGGAGCGTTGAACCACCTCTTAATTGCTGGTGTTCTCAGGTCCCCGCCCCTTAACCGGGGTTGTAGCACCTGTTAGGGTCTCAGCTGTGGGCAAGTAGTTAACCCTCGAACTGGGGCATATGAAAGTGTAAAAATAGGTTTTAATGTAATCGTGCAAAACTCTCCCGCGCCGTCCAAATCTTCCAACAACGCGGCTGGTCGCTGAATTACAGTCCACTGGGCAAGCCATATCAGTTAGAAAGGCAAGTTTTTTTTTTCTTTTTTGATTATTATGTCCAGCATATTTGCTCTAATATTATTATTATTATTATTATCAATCAAAATGATTGGTGTAACTCTTCCAGTATTTTTCAACAGTTAAAAGAAGGGCACGATTTAAAAAAAGATAGAAAGTGTTTGACAATGTTAAACAATATTACCTCTACAGCCGTTTCTTTTTTCATTACAAGACAAACAACGTTTGTTCAAAGGCATATATTTTTTATAGATTTATTTACATTTAAACTTGAAAAAATGTTCTTAAATATAACTTGAAGACACACTTTCTTTTGATTTAGCATTGTCAAACACAGTGTTTTTTTATTTTCTTTATCTTTTCTTAAATCGCGTTATTGTCTTAATTATTATTATTATTGTTTTTATTTTCTTTGATTTCTGGCGTTTACACATATCTTTCCGGGTCCCGTCCAGGGACCTAAGGTTATAAATGGCATCATGACACTTTCCACTGACAAAAAAAAAATAAAAAGAATATTACATAGATAAAGCCCTTTGTAAAGTGTGGGCTGTACTTGTCAGAAGACTTTTTTTGTATCTCTTTGAGGCACGGACTTCCAGGAATCCCATCAATCCCCTTATTATTTATTATTATTATTATTATTATTATTATTATTTTCTTTGATTTCTGGCGTTTACACATTTCTTTCCGGGTCCCGCCCAGGGACCTAAGGTTAGAAATGGCATCATGACAAAAAAAAAAAAAAAAGTTACATAGATAAAGCCCTTCGTAAAGTGTGGGCTGTACCTGTCAGAATAATTTTTTGTATCTCTTTGAGGCATGAACTTCCAGGAATCCCTTCAATTAGTCTACTGCAATCTTTTTCAACCAGTCCTAGGGATCCAACTACAACAGGGATTGTTGATGTTCCCATATGCCACATAGCAGCGACTGCCATATCAACAAGGAGGCACCGTTTTTGTTTGTGGTCTTTAATAACAATATCCGGGCAGTTGGTTATTATTATTATTATTATTATTATTATTATTATTATCTGGTTTTGTTTACTGTTCTTTACAATCTCTTACCAGGAGATGATGTAAGCAAAAATAGTTAATATATGCATTTCTCTTTTGCACAATTTCTTATCTTACGTGATATTTAACATGTAC